AAGAGCCAGAGAAATTACTTCCAGGATTTATCAGATTCATTCTTATTATGTCTCCATCCAGAGCTTACAAGGATACAGAGTTAGGCTACATTTTTAATTCACCTTTTCTTCATATTGAGGAGACAAATCCCTGGATATTCCTAAACTGTGCTAAGGTATGCACATATATTTGTTGCCTATATGTGATGCCAGAGATGAAACTGTATGAAGATATCAACAATCTGAATGTGATTCTGGTTCTGATTTGTTTGGAAGAAAGTTCTGATGAATGAACCATTCTTTATTTCAAAATTTTGTGTGGGAGATGAGCTATAACTTGGGAGGTCTGCTAATATAGAAATAGGACAGAAGAGCACAGGCAGGATGTACAGCAGCATCATAAAACCACAATGGTCAACAAATGGGAAATATTAACCAGCAAAATAAGTTTTCATATTAATTAGGAAAAAAAGAACCAAACCAGATATTTTAAATATTTATTTGTCAGACTGGGATAACAGCCTTTATAGAGCACAATTTGCATAAGTTCTCAAGATACATCCTGTATACAATCACAAAACCATGGCATGGATTTATACATAAAGTGAAAACTGGGACAGATTTACAAGCATTTTTATACAATCTCATACTGCTTTTGTTTCAGTTTTTACAACTTTTAGAACAAATCTGTTTTGTTTTCATTTTTCCTGGTGATTCTGGAAGCAAAATGAAAATTAAAAGAATTCAAAATGAAATGAATAACAACAAACCACCACCTATGCATGCAACATTCACTGTGGAAACATTACATTTGCCCAAGGACTATTCTTCTTTTTTTGTTGTTTTTGCAGGGTTTTTTTGGTGTTTTTTGGATTTTTTTTAACATTGTGTCTGCTGTACACGTGGTCTGTAGCATGACAGCACACACATTAGTCAGCCATTGTTGAGCACCTGAGCACATCACTGAACATCTATAAGATACAATCAAATAAGGACACACTCACATGCTTGGATGTCAAATGGGGTTAATAATTTAAACTCAGTTTGTTTTACAAAAATGTATATTTATTTACAGGGTAACAAATTAAGAAAACAACTCTCGTCAAATCATCTAGTTTTAATTATGGATATCTATATATATTATAACTTTTGAGCTCATCAATATATTTGCTTATTATTTTTTTTTCAAAATAATAAAACAGAACGTGTAGAAACCATTAAAATGTTTCTTATGGTTTAAAGAGAGAGTATCCGGTTTCACTTATTCTTTCTATTTTCCTTCTAAAGGCAATATGTATTTATAAAGAGCAATTTATCCTAAATGCCAGGTGTACTGAAAATTCACAAGGCATGTAGGACTAGTGTTTAAATATAATGTAGGTGGATACTTACGCTAATTTTCCTCTCTGTTTAATTACCTTTATAAGTTACACTCACACAAATTTTCTTTGCTATTCACATAGGTATGTACATATCTAGATATATACTTAAATAATGAATCTGGGACATTCAACATTGTAGCAATGAAAATAAACTAGTTAAAAATAGTGTCAGTTATGATCCAAATGATAATTTAAAAAAATACTATTAACATCTTTATGATATCTTCATGAAACTAAATCCTAATTAAATAATCTCTATTGGGCTCACACTAGCTTACAATATAATAGATGTATTCTTTTTCTTTATCATCATTCTCTAAGTATGAATCAATATCAGCTGGTTACCAGCTACCATATCCCACAATGTAGCCATGCAAACATCCAGCATCCAGAAAAATAACTCAAATGTTTCCTAGGTCTTGATTTAAAGCCAGTTCAAGACAGCAGATTGGTTGTTACTGACTTAAATTGGTTTTTGTTTCTTCCATACAGGATCCATGTAATGTAAAACCGTGGGTAATAATAAAGAAGCAGCACTCATTGCCCCTGGATACTATCCCTTTAAAGTGTAATGATAAAGAACTAGCTCAACATTCATCATAGAAACTCTCATGTCTAGTTTTAAACTGGAAAAAAAGGTGGCTGTTTGCTGCTCATTTTATGCATACTAATAACAATGATAATGTTATAAATCCCTGTCATTTGTAAACACACACACACACTGTGCTTTTGCTCATTTTTCAGCTTGTTTCCACTCTACAAGGCTTAAACTAAGAAGCAGCTTCAATTTCTGTTGTCTCAGCAGATTTATGAATTAAAAGAGTTAAAATGCCTCTGCTATTGCCTCCCTGCAATATGTATCTTCAAAGAATCATAGAAATGTGTGAACTCATTAATAACCAATCACTCAGAAATGATAAAAGCTGTTGCCACGTCTAAGTGCATTTGGCCAGATAAAAGAAACAAAAATTAATGAAAGAAAAGGAAAAAAAAAATACTGAGATATATACAAAACTGGTAAAAAAATACTAATAGTCCTTGTTTGATTGTTTTTTTTAAAAAAAACATTGTCACGAGAGTTTTTCCTGACTTCATTCATAAAACAAACAACAAAAAAAGAAACTATGCATTCAAATATGAATCCGTGTTGCATAGAGTGATTTCAGTACAACCTAGAAATTTGGTCAAAAAAGGGAACTTGGCACACTTTGGTGGCATTCTCTGAGCTCTGGATGATGCTGCCCCAGAAAGCCAAGTGTGTGACACACGCCCACCCCAGGTGACACTGAAGGAGCCCCATCCCTGCTGCAGCTGGCCAAGGCAGTGCCACGTTCCTCTCAAACCCTGCTCTTTGTGTTTCATGATAGGAATCCAAAACTGCCATTTCAACATGCACAAACATTTTGTGTGTTGCTCACAGAAACAAAGGTGCCTGAACTAAACCAGTTGCCGACAGCTGATTAGCCTCAAAGGCAGCTGTTCCCTACCACTCAACAAAAGTATTCAATAAAATCTCGGCCACATTTGCATGTGTGTGAGAGCAAAGCATGCCTGTCCACTTTCTCAATTATGGATGATGATTACAGGCTGCCAGTAAGGCAGAGACTGCTCGTTCCTCCCAGAAATCTCCATAGCAACTACCAGTGTGACTTGCTGCCTTTGGAGCAAATCTTAGCAAGAACAAAATCACCAGCAGTTTGCACAAAATTGCACACCTCGTGGCTTGCACTTCACACAGATTTTTTTTTTTTTTTGCAGGTCTTTTTTTCAAAGTACAAACACAGTATAGTCATCAGGAATGCAAGATAACCCACCAAGAGAGCAACACATATGTCAAATGTATCCACACAGGATTTTTGTTTCAGTAGGGGATTTTTTCTTTGAAGTATTTTCTTATAAAAACATATACAACATCAAAACATAGAATTTTTACAATAATTCCAGAGGACTGTTCTTAAAATATATGAGAGGTAGGGTATACATATACTGGTGAAAGCATAAAATTCAACATTAAAGCACAAATCCTACTTCCACTGTCAGTGATGTTGTGTTTTTAAGATAGCTAATAAGATTTTGGTAAGATTGCTCTGCTTGGAAGTTAAGCAGGCTACCAACAGGCTATGAACAACTGGAGTTTCCTTGGTGTGTGTAACATTAATATCATTTGTATGTTTCTTCTCATATTCCTGTTCCATGGTGATATTTTAAGTTGATAAACACAAACCAGAAACTGTATATGGGAAAAGTCACCAGATTAAATGGTGTAGCTTTTTCACAGTAAATCCAGTTGCTTAATAATCTAAGCTTTATTTTTTCCTTTTTTTTTTTTTAAAGCTTAAAATATTTTCCAGGAGACTATTTTCAGCTGGTCTTGCACAACTTGTGGAAGAATACTACATATATTCAGAAAATATAAGACGATGTACATAAAATAATTCAATGAAAATTGGAAAGTCTTTTTTGGGCCAGAAAAAAAAAAAAGTCTGACATGCAGAAATTTGGTCATTTTCTTTTTAAGTATGCAAAGGTAATGAGATCATATTTCCAGGGAAACTATTTGTTATTGAAGTTGTGAAATATTAGATGACTTCTGAGTAACATGGGAGTTAGTACCATTGATTCTTGGGTTCAATGAACTTTCTATACTTTTAGGAATGGGAGAAAAAGCTCTCCTTTCTTCAAACATGGTACAAGGGAAAATACAGCAACCAGCCCAAGCCTTGCCAGGCAGTAGTTTCTTCCAAGTGAGCTAACTGCTTGGGAGTGCTGACACAGACTTAAAAGTTGCAACTACCTTCTTATTTACTTCTTTCCTAGCTGATAAGCCATGGTGTCAGTGGATTATACTCAGACATTCACCTGAGATAGCAAGAGGATATTCTTCATTCTAATGCAGGAGCATCCAGTCAGGAACTGCCCTGCTGTCCCTCCCCCTTAGATTCCTAGTGTGTCACTAGTGTTGATACAGAGCCCTGCATTGAGAGGGTCGCTGATGGCCTGGTGGGGCTGCTGCTCTGAATGCCCACAAAATAGCCTAGAATTCATTGTCACTCTACAGTTTCAGAACAAGACTGATTGCTGAAAAACACGAGGACTAGTTGAAATAACTGCATTAGTCCCAGTGCTTAAGTCTCTTCAATCTCAAACTGATTTAGACCTTCTGACTCAAAGTGTGGGGTGAAATAGTGTCACTGACATTGAAACAGCATTTTATCTTTCTGCTGTAATGCAGTTTAAAACCCGTCCTTTCTCTTTAAAACCACATCCCAAATTATAGACCGTTTATATAATTTTATTCATCACATTCTAGGAGAGTGGTTTATATTCATTAACACACAGAAACAAATGAAACAACTAGAGCTGATTCTCCACAGCATAGTTTTTGAAGGAAAAAGAAAGAAGGAAATAAGTAATGTAAAATAACATTACCACTCTTGTAAACACCTTGCAGTTTGTGTCAAGTGGCATAATCTCACTAAAGCAAATTATCAGAGATCCTAAGGTGCAGAGGAGCAAGTTTTGCACTTTTAATAAGTGAGATTTGGAAAGTCAGTCACCCTAGGTGCTTTTGCATAAAATGATCTTCCTTCTGGTTGCACAGACTCCAGACTGCGCTTCCCATCACACCACCTCCATCTGCAGCCGAGCTCTGTGTTAGCACCTGCCTCCAGCCTCCATCATTTCCTTCACAGTTATTCTCTTCAGAGTCCAACAACATGGAGCCCTCGCATCAGTCTTCATTTCAAACACCTTCACTTTAACTTCTGGGCCCAGATTTTCTTCTCCCTTTGCTGTGTTTTGCAGCAAAAATAAGTGTACTAGCCCTCATTTAAGTGTGCTTTGTAGCCCAGAGACTGCTCTTTTCTACTTTGTATTCTGAAAGACTAGCTAAACACAATGATATCAAACTATATTCTTGAAGTGATGCTGTTTAGAGCAGACTCTGCATGTTTTGTGCCCTAAGCAGACAGCTCTGCTCAGTGTGTTTGCGTGGAGCTGACCAAGAGTTTGTGCCAGTTTACTATTCTTTTCCTTAGATCCACTTTGTCAAGCCAGATATAAGCTTCCCCAATCAGTGTCTTTTTCATAAACTTCCCTCCATTGGAGACAAGCAGAATCTGTGAAAATAATAATGATAATCATCATCATCATCAATGTACACAGTAACATACAACTAGCAAAATATGAAAGATTCAGGAATGTTGAACTCAAATATGCTACACAGAGAAAAAGAAACATTGACCCTCACTTTTTATATAGAGTCACCTTTCCCTTCACAGAAAGCCCTGTGAAAATTGCATCTTCTGCTTCTGTTTCCTTATCATGAGATGTAGCAATTAGAAGATGACAATCTTTAATGTTAATGAGCAATTCGTTCACCTGCTGGTTACTAAAGGTGAGCATAAAGTCAAGTTTATGTTATAAGATAGAGCTGTGTGCAAATGAAGCAGCAGCTCTTGAATTCTGATGCAGACAAGGTGTACAAGGCTCTCTGTGAAATGTCATCCAACCACATATTTTCCAGCTAAAGAGGCTTGTGCCATGCCAATGATACACTTTTCTGAAGGACTTGTCTCATCCTGTGATCTGTACATGTTTCTAAGAAAATGCATTTGATAATATGTATAATTCATGGCATGAGTTATAGTTACACATTCAGAAAAATTTTAGCATTTCTTAATTTTTAGTAACTGAATTAACAAGCACAATGTGGAGTGTTTTAGGGTATTTTTTTGTTATTTTTTAACTTATGTTTTTCAAAAAGAGAAAGAAATAATGAAGATTTGCATTTCCATGGCAGGATTAGCAGTAGGTTTGTCATATTCACAGTTACCTCAACAAGCAGCAAGTAAGAGAAGTAACTGATAATGGGAGGAGGCTGTTACTCTCTGTGTGAACCAGCATGTGAGAATAAAAAGGCATTTTGTTGTTTGGTTTCAAAGATATATCTCGACGAAAAATGACAGAACACAAGGATTTTGTTCTCTGCTGAAACCACATGGCAGCAGAAATGTAACAGATCTGTAGAAGAACTAGAATTTCCTGTAATCATGAACTGCACCATTTTTGAAAATTTTTCATTCTGATTTGGAAAGCAATGTAAAAACTGCAAACATTACATTGCAAATAAAATTCAAAATTAATTTCAAAAGGGAAGAAATTTGCATATGTTTTCCTGGATAGGCTTCCTACTTTCTTGTCCAGTTTTGATATCAATTGACAACCTGGGAAGCTTAGATACCTGATGGCTACTAGTAAATGGGTTTGAGAAGGGAAAACTCTTAGGCACTGAATTAAGAGGAAACTCCTTTCATCAGAAACATGTCCTTGAGGAAAATAGGCTGCTTGCCTCCACTGCTGATGGCTTTTTAGGTCCCTAGCTTCAGTGTTTGCTGAAGAATGGACTGCTCAGAACCTGGAAAGTCAAACCAGAACATCTGTGAAATTCGTTCTTCTGGGTTTTTCTGATTAGCCTTGCATAGGACATTATGTATTTCTAATTGCAGTGAGCCAGGAGCCAGAAGCTTAGTGCTTTCCAGAAGGGTCCCAGGTGAGTTGCCAAGGAACAGGGAAATCAGAGATGCGAGATAAAAACTGCCAGGGGCTGAGGAAAGTGCCTGTCTGAAAATTGTCAAAATGTTTTCCACAGAATGTTTTCATTCTGAGACAATCAACAGTTTTAGGCCAGAAAAAAATTTATCCAATTTTTCATTAGTTCTGTCTTTGATCCTTCTCCCTTATCTTTCCAGATGGAACCCTAGGATCCATCTTTAGCTTGTATGTCTCTGTGCTGGTTTGACCTGGGAAGAAGAAACTCAGAGAGAATTTCTCTCTAAGGGGGCTTCCTCTGTGGGGTGTTGGGACAGCTTTAACA